TCCGCACCGACAATTTTTGTACTCCGCGCGGAAACAATTCTTCGAAAAGAAGAATATTTTCGTGTGCAATAAAAAATTTTGATGCAGAAAAAACTACATGCGGAAAAAAAATTCCGCGCGGAGAAAAAACTCTCCGCACCGACAATTTTTGTTCCCCACGCGGAAAAAAATCTCCGGAAAGAAAAATATTTTCGAGTGCAACTGAAAATTTTTATGCAGAAAAAACCGCATACGGAAAAAAAATTCCGCGCGGAAAACTAATTCTCCGCTTGATCTTCCTTAATCAAGAGATGCGTTCAAATTGTCGAGACGGATTTTCCCTCTGTACCGCAGGGGTCATTATAAACTTCTTAACTCCAGGTAAACATGTAGACGGCGAAGGGAAGGGAGTGAGGGGAGGAGGAATACGTAAAAAAACAGATAAAGGTCTCACGGCGTTCCGTCCGGTCGACACGCTCGCGCGTTTCCGCTCGCGTTTTCCAGCCATCTGCCACGCAAAACTGCATTCGTACACATCTCCTCCGGAATAATATAACCACCCAAGGCCCACGACCGCGTTCGTGCGTATCGCCCACACCCGGGCCCCCTATCCAACTTCCGCTCGTCATCCCCTCTCCCCCCGCGGTCTCTTCACCCGCGTTTTTTTTTCGAGATTTTTTTGTTTTATGGTTATTTCAACTTGTCTCGATTCAACGATTGTTCGGAATAAACGGGTTTAATGCCGCGGGCGGGGAAAATGGGTTTTTGTTGGGGCGAGGTGAAATCACAGTTTGTTTTCAATTAGGGGGGATTGGGAAAGAGTCGTAATGAGGGTTTTTTTCAATGATTAATTGGAAGGTAGGGATTCAGGTGGAGATTTTTTAGAAAGGTATTTCAGGTTTTCAATGTTAGGAAAAAGTCTTTCGATGTTTTTTTTAATAAATCTAATGGTGGGAGAAATATTTTTGGAATAATTAGGGGATTTTTTTCAAGTTGAAATAAATAAATGGAGAAGGGCTCGACCATTTTCAATCATCAAATTTGTCAATTAAATAGCGTGAGAAAAATTTGAAAAAAATCATGAATATTCAGAGTCATACAAATTACATTTTGCACACAATTATTATTTTTTAAACATTCTTCGTTAATAAATAAATAATTAAAATTGTTTAAACTTTCGAAAATCTTATTGCTTTAGACATGAAATCGATTTCTGATAAAATTCTGAATATGAATAAACTTGTTACGATTCAGAACAAATGATTTTTATAGTGAAAAATTGATTGTTTATAAATTATTTACAAAAAATGCTCGTAATGTTGAAAAATTACAATTTTTAAATTATTCCATTACTCTTCGTGAAAATCTCCCTAAAAATGTTCAAAAATCGCCGAAAATTTGCGGAAAAAATGGTCAACAACAAAATCCGCGAGACAAAAAAAATCCCAAATTCACCTCAAATCCAATCTAACCCGCATGTCACTCCCGTATCACCGAAAAATAAAACCCACATGTACACGTTGTCAGAATGAGCAAAGAGTCCGCGGGCCGTCAGGGTCGTGCATGGGAGCGAGTACACAGAAAGCGGAAGCGGGGCTTTCCGCATCGGTGGCTGTGAACAATGAGACCGCCAAGTTCACGGCACGAGGACTATCTTTTTCTCGTATATACGTTCACTCGTTTTACGCGAATTCCAACCTTCCCCTTCCATCAGCCGGTGAAGATTCGCGGGTATATTTATTCTACGTGTGAAGCATTTTTTTTCCTTCGGCATTATCTCCATCTCCCTCTTGCGCACTAACAATTTCCGGCAATTTTTTCCTCCTCTCTCGGCTTTATTTTATTTTATAAAAGAAAAATGATATCGCGAAATTGTGGAATGAACTCGGGTGTAATATGACGAAGGCAATGGGCATGCGATAAACCTCTGCATTTGGGTTGTAGTGCAAAAGTGGTGCACATACGAAGGCTATAAAATATAGCTTCATGTGCGCTTAAGCGTTTAATGCGTTTTGCCAACGTGAAACGAATTATTATTGTTGGGTGATTACCGCCTATTGCATTCTGGATAGATAAAGGCAGCGCAGAGTGAAAATATATAGAAAATTATGAATTACGGATATTCGTTTGACCCTACACTGTTAAAAAAATTTTACTGAATTTTCCAGAAAATGATACCGAATTCAATTTTACGGAAAAAAGTCTATGAAATTTCAAGTTTCCCTGAAAATTCAAGGAAATTCCTGATTTTTCAGTGGAAGAAAGGAAATGAAGAGTCGACAACAAGAATCGATATTTCGTTGCAAGCAATGAATCAATAAAAACGTCATTTACCTTTTGTCGAACCCCTCACTATCGATCCAATTGTTTTGACGATTGGATTGACCGAGGCAGTCGCAATGATAACACGTGGGCTCGGTCAAATGCTCAACAGGTGCTTGGCAACAGGTAATCCAACGCCAGGATTCATAATATGACTGATGATTTGCTTCCAGGTACACCAAGGGCACCGGGTTGACTGTCCACGGTTCAACGGGCAGGGCGAGGACATTCGTCTTCCAGCGCTGGAGATGGATGATGATTATGATCCATGACGAATCCGTAAGTTTCATTTGAATTCAATGGGGAAGCGAGAGTAGAAAATTGAATTGTTTTTTATGAATATCTGGAAATCCATTGAAGATGAAGAAATTCTTGTAAAAATATTTTTTGTAGAGGAGGAAATTTCCTACAAAAAAGTTTTTCTCATATTTCACTTGAATATCTCGAAATCTATGAGAGATATAAAAAAATCAATAACGACTCGTTTTGCAGGGGAGGAAATTCTCCACAAAAAAGATTTTACAATATTTTTCTCTAAAAATGTCATATTTTTCAAGAAATTTGCAAAAATTATCTTCTATGTCTAAATTAGGATCAATTTCTCTTGAATTCCGATACATTTCCCATAAACCAATCACCTGAAATGGACCTGAATTACCCCTTCCCTACAGAATTACCAAGATAATTGCATTCACCGTAAATATCAAGCAGAAAAACGTAAAAAACATCAGCTTTCCCCAATAAAATTACCATCGGAATTAATTTTAATGACGTTATATATTATAATTCCCATCAAATCAATCATCCATTTCACGATTATGTGCTAGGAATTAATTGCGAAATGGGAAAACTACACGAGTGATAAGGGATTGTGATGAGACTCACCTTAATTGCGCCGTTAAACATCTCAATTAAAAAGTGATGTTGATGAACCCATGAGGTTGGTTGAATTATGGGTTACGTCGTGTTGCCGGACGCTGTGTATGACACGGGAGCTCCACGGGACTGTTACATTAATCCCCCGTGAATTCTTCCAGTGCCATTGACAGTGTCCAAGCTGAAGGATCCAATCGTTGGTACAACAGAAGGTTCTCATTTCAAAATAAGGGTGTGGGTGAATTGAGATAAATTAGTTCAACCTCGGAATATTTCTTTCACCGCTTCATAACTTCTAACCTAGAGGAGATAGAGGGATTTTTGATATAACCTTTTTTGTAGGCAATTTCTTCCTCTATAAAAAAGGTTTTTATGAAAATTTCGCTATCTGCTTCAGATTTTGAGATATTGGCATTTTACTATCTCAGTTGAGAATTCATCCTGAATTCAGGATTGTGGGTCAAATGACCCTTTTGATCTGTCTGCTCTAACTCTTTTGACCTTTAAGAACATTTGACCCTTAATTGTAGATGTTATGGGGGTGGTTTGACCTTCGAAACCATTTGAACTGCAACTCCAAACACAATCAGCACAATTTAGCCATTTTTTTTAGCTTTTAGTTGAGGGTGAAATGGTCTTGTGGATCAGCCAATCTCAAAAAACCTTTGGAATTAAGGTTGAAATGGTCATAAGGGTCAGCCTACGAAGACTTGCAGGGTTAAGGGTCAAATAAACCTTTCTCATCCCTCTGCTTTAACCCTCTCGACCCTTATGACCATTTGACCCTTAATCCTGACCGTTCGTAAGGGTCGTTTGACCTTCAAGACCATATCACCCTCACCTCCAAACCCAATTACTCATTACAATCCCGAAAACTTTTTCCGTATCCAATTAAAGATCAAATGCTCGTAAGGGTTAAACGACCCTCGAAGACCTGTAGATCACGGGTCAAATGACCCTCAACCAAAAACGAGACTCCCATCCCCACTTTATTCCCCAATATCTCAGAACCTACTAGACTTATCAAAAAACCTCAGAAGACCTTTTTTGTTGAGAATTTCCTCCCCCACAAAAAAGGTAATTACCAAAATCCCCCTATCTCCCCTAGATCCCGAGATATTCCGAAAAAACCGAACTAAAAAATCAACCCATCTCATTTCCCCCTTCACCACTCATTCATCTCTCTACTCTCCACAATTACTGACTTCAAACATCTTCCCAGTTCTCCTTCCCCCGTTCTCGATCACCTCGAAACATCCTCTTCCCGGAAATGTCGAGTCTCACCAGCAGTTCCACTGTCTCATCCCACCTCATCATCAACCCCATCGTCCAACTGTCCTCTGCTTCACGTTCCGTGACGCGAACATTCCCACAGATCGAATCGTCAAGCCCCTCAACACCATAGGCCCTCCTCGAAAGCCTCCTCCCCCTCCCTTGGACCGGATCAACAACCTCCATCCTCTCTATCTCTCCCCCACCCCCTCCCTCTCCTTCTCCTAAAAATATTTCAACTTTATTTCATTCTCCTCTGAGGCCCAGCAGTCCCTTTGATTCGTTCCAAATTACGTTGTAAGTGGTTTCATAAAAAAAAACGGAACTCCATGATGACAGGTTCTAAATAATTTCTGCCCCAAAAAATCTCCATGACCAATAAAAAATCGAAATTATCAAAAACTTCTCATAACTAAAAAAATGAAAGAAAAAACGATTACAAAAAACTTTTCTTCTCCGAAATTTTCGAAACTATTCTTACGACCTGACTCTTGCCTCATCCCCCCTTCCCCCCATCCAAAAAACATTAGTCTTAGAAAACATTTTGGTATAGAACAGCGAGAGAAATAATAAAAAAAAGAGATCTCTTAACTGCTGAAACTGGTTTGAAACGACCTCGCGACTTTTTTTCCACCTCCTCAGCGTTTCTACCGTCGCCCCCTCCCCCTCCCTCCCCCACCCACCGCTGGCACCGCAGGTGCGCCCTTGATCCGTGTGTGCCCACGAGAACTGTGGGAATACCGATTCCACTTCCGTTTTTTACCCCCACAATTCGTTGAAAAAAAGAAATTTATATAAACCCCACGCACGCACGTTAAATTAATAAAATTGTTGCATTAACTGAATGCGAGTGATTAAAGATTACTTCAGTAAAATGTTAGTGTTGAGAGTTGAGGGAGTGAAGGGGACGTTGTGATGCAAGAAGTATCTTGGGACAATGAAGGCTTCGTGAAACCTCAGGATTATAATGGCAGTGGAATTTTCTTGGTCTCTCGTGATGTGAGAGCAAAAAAAAGGACAAGAGGTCAAACGATCGCCGAAAAAAAACGAGAAATAATGGAAATGATAAAATTGTGCAAACGAGAGATATACAAGTCAGTTGTCACCCGGTGGATTTATCCTATGATCTCGAAACTCGTGGCACGTACCTTGAGGAAGAGTCCGTCATCTCTCCAGTCTCCAAGTTCGTGTCTTGACTCCAGAATGGGCTTCCCACGTAGGAAACAGCATTGGGTTGATAAATGTATATTTTTTTTCAACGAATAATGCCTTCTCATTCTTGTATTAGTCCTCAACTCCTCGTGGATGATGTGTAACTTGTGGGATTACGTCACGCGTACGACGACCCGAGTTGGGACTGCATCCTATCGATATTTACGTAACCGCACAGAGGAATCGAGTGACTCAAATAGGTGGGATAAATCTTTTGATGTGAAACGTGAAAACAACTTGACTCGTTTTGACTTGAACTTGATAAAATGATGGATGATGAATGATAAAATCGTACAGTGGCGTTGAGGAAAATCGTAACTCAAAGTTGACTCAATTTGCGCGACTCGTCGAAACGTGACTCAACTTGACTCTAATTCCAGAATTCTATGGGTATATTTTTGGGGGGTGGAAATAGGTGCTCTGAACTCGAAGAATAAGATGACTAGTAAAAAACTGATTCACGCAGAAATTAATGTGACTCAAACTCGATTAGATTTGACTCGACTTGACTGAAGCCTCATAGTTTGAACCATTCTCTCAGCATTAATACTGAGAGTCTTGTACTCAAGAGAAGTTATTCCAAATCAAAATGATTTAACAGATTAAAAAACAGAACTGGAATTAATTTGACCCAACTTGACTCAAACTTACTACTCCAACTGATTTATTTCTCTAAAATGTCCAGTAATACCTGATGAAATTGAGAAACAATGAATCGATAAATGGGAAAATAACTGACAAAAACTGAGTCTCAACCAAAACTTAACTCAACTTGACTCAAACTTGAGGATTCAACAGGCTTTCGTCTCCAAAATATTCGGTAATACCCGTTTCAATTGAAAAGTCCAACAACCGAACAAAAAAGTGACCAAAACCGAGTCTCAACGAAACTCAACAAAACTTGACTCAAACTCACGAGACTCATCGAATATAACTCATCAAAACCTCCACTACTACCCGATCGAGGTTGCAGTTTGCAACGAATCGAAAAAACAAATATACTGACTCAACCAAAACTCAACTCAACTCATCAAAATTTGACTCAACTTGACTCAAACCAACAAATTCAATAGCTTTCAATCTTCAGCATTTCCAGTAGTACCCGACCAAAATTGAACAAATTAACAACAAATGAAGAAAAAAACTAAACTTTACCTAAACTCGATTAAATTCGATTCAACTTGACTCAACCCTGCGACCCCAACAGATCAAGCTCTCCAAAACCTCCAGTACCCGATCGAACTCATATTTACGATTTAAAAAAAAAACTCAACCAAAACCCGACTCAAACTTACAAAACCCAACAGATCAAACTCTTCAGAACCTCCAGTACTACCCGATCAAAGTTAAACTCCAATGCATTGAAAAAAAAAAGAAAAAACTGAACTGAACAGGCGAACCGGTTGCTCCCAATGACGTGAGCCAACTGAACCTGCTGGCAGGCAGGTAACGCCAGGTAAACTATTCTACGTAGAAGTCCCGCCGGCCGGCATGAAGAAGGGGAAAGAGTCCAGCGGAGTGGGGGGGGAGGGGGCATCGGTCCGTGAACAACCACCATCAGACCAACCTGTGCACAGTCACTCGTCTGTGACTCCCCCCCATGACTCCAGTGGATACAACAGAGACACAAGCATTCAATTATCGTGCACCTGAGGAAGAACCACCTGATGAACGTCTCCGCAGGGGTGAGGGGGGGCGGAGAGTCGAAGGGGGGGGGGAGTGAGTCACTCCCGGGTATGAGTGAAGCGAATAGACCAAACAAAATGGGCAAATGCCACCACATGGTAATGGTAATTCACGTTCTGTTCTTTTCTGTTCTGTTCTGTTACCTATAGTCTTCACAAAAGAGTACTGTTACTCGTGGATCAGGTTTGGAACCATGATTTTTATTTTTCAATTCTTCCGGTGGGGGCTTTCAT